TCCTCTTAGCCTCAGTTTCTTCATCTGTAAAGTGAGTGGGTTGGACTCCTTTCCAGAACTAAATCTATGCTCCTATAACTAGCCAACTATTGCACAGTCAGTCACAAAGCAGGGATATTAACCTTTGTGCTTACTCCAAATGTTTTGCACTTTGCATTGTTTTATGATACTGCCCTTTTGACTCTTAAGTCCAGGCCTTGTCTGTGATCACATCACGCATTCATCCCGTACTGTGTTCTTTCATTCCTTCCTTCTCCAGATTTCTGGACTTAACTGCCCTATGACTAGGGCCAGTCTCTTGGATCCTTCATGGCATCTCCCTTGGACTTTTCTACAAAGCTATAGACTAGTTGCCGTCTTTCCCTGTGCTCTTGAAATCACAGGTTGTTATCTTGCTCCTGTGTTTTCTTACGTTCTGTTTTAGCCTCTCTCGGAGGCCTGCAGAAAAGGACATAGCTCAATATTGTGAATGACTAATCACTGTTAGAATCCCAGAAGCCCAGAGTTAGCAGGGTATCTAGCCCAACCCATACCTGAATACAAATCCTCTCTATGATACGCTTAACAAATGGTCATCTGATCCAGCCTCAGACACATAACACTAGCTGTGTGACCCTGGGCAAGTCACTTAACCCCATTGCCTATCCAAAAAAACCAAAAATCAAAGGTCATCTTATCGTGCCTCGAAGACCTTCAGTTGGGGGAGCCCACTGTTCCCCTTTTTGTTTTTATGATGCTTGTTGATCAGTCATTTTTATTTTTTATTTTTTGGGGGGCCAGGCAATGGGGTTAAGTGGTTTGTTTTTGCTTTTTGGTGAGGCAGTTGGGATTAAGTGACTTGCCCAGAGTCACACAGCTATTAAGTGTCAAGTGTCTGAGGCTCGATTTGAACTCAGGTCCTCCTGATTCGAGGGCTGGTGCTCTATCCACTTCGCCACCTCACTGCCCCAGTCAGTCATTTTTGAGTCACGTATGACTTTTCATGACTCTATTTGGAATTTTCTTGGCAAAGATATGACAGTGGTTTGCCATTTCCTTCTCCAGTTCATTTTACAGATGAGGAAACTGAGGCAAACAGGGTCAAATTTTACCCTATCACCAGGGTTAAGGAAACACACCAGGCAGCCACTGTAATTAGTTTCAGTTTTGGGAGGCTTCTTCAGGATCGTTGAGTCTCAGAGTTGGGAGGGAACCTCAGAGACGATCCTGGCCAACTCACCCCAGAACAAAAATTCCCTCTACAAGATTTGAAATCAGGAAAATAAGTCCTCCTGACTCCAGGCCCAGCACTCTATCCAGTGCCCCACTAGCTGTCCACTCTATTTTAGTAAATGTAGTGGACACAGAGCTGGTCACTTCTACTCAAGGTTCTACCTCCCTTCTTCATTAAATATATAGCCAAATGATTTGAGAAACAGCTAAATTAATTAGCATGCATTTCACCTGTTTCCTCTTCCTCAGAGAGTCAGTATGGTGTAGTGAATAGGATGCTAGACCCGAAGTCAGGAAAACCTGAGTTCAAATTTGACTTCAGACACTTACTAGCTGTGTGACTCTGGGTAAGTCATTTAACTTCTATGTGTCCCAGTTTCCTCATCTATAAAAAGGAGATAATAATAAAACCTACCTTCTGGGTTACTGTGAGGTTTGGATGAGATAATATTTGTAAAGTGCTTTGCAAACCTTAAAGTACTCTATAAATGCTACTTTTTATTAATATTATTGTTGTCAGAGCCCGTCTAATCCAATCCCCTTATTTTTTGGATCAGAAACTGAGGCCCACGGTGGTTAAGTTTGCCTTGCCCAAGATCCCACAGCTAAGAAACAGCAGAGGCAGGGGATTTCAACCCAGGTCCCTTGGCCCCCTTTCCATTGTCCCATATCAACTTTTCTATCATATTTCCCTCTCTACAGTCAGATCTTCCTGGAGGGAACCCAGCCTCAGGACGTTGGGTCCGGGGCTGCGAGGAAGAATGAATTCAGATGTCAGGGAAGCACATTCATCTCCAACTCAACAACAAAGTCTTTGGCACCACAGGTGATGAGCAGACTCATATTTCTTCTGGGGCCCTAGTAATATCTCCACCAGATAGCATCTGATAAAATATGGCTTCTTGGAGCGTTAGCAAACCCATTATGACAGGTAATAGAAACCATGGCATTGCCCCTGGCTTAATAAAATCTCTCCTTAATATGAGATCTTGATAAATGATTAAGAACACAACCTCAGGAGTTATCACTCGGCAGGCCAATGGGGGCTGCTAATAAACTCCAGAGGAGAAGAATCACTGCGTCAGATTCCTATCGACAGCGAGGCTGAGCAAGCAATATGATGTTCTTCATTTTGTGATCAGAGAGCTGGATAAACACACTGTAATCTGCAGAGGTAGCTATATATAAGAAAGAGTAATTACTTGCTACCCTATCACTGGGGTTAAGGAAACACATCAGGCAGCCACTGTTATTAGTTTTGTTTCTGGGATGCTTTTTGAGGATCACTGAATCTCAGAGTTGGGAGGGAACCTCGGCGACAATCCTGGCTAACTCACCCCAGAGCAAAAATTCTCTCTACAAGATCCCTGGCAATTGGTCATCCAGAGCCTTTACCTGGATACCTCTGATGAGGGGGTACTCCCTACCTCACAAGACAGTTCATTCTACTTTAAGACCACTCTCAGAATGGGAACGATTTCCCCTACATTCAGCTAAAATCTGCACCTCTCCAGTTTCTATCCATTGCTCCTTGTTTGCTCTCTGGGACCAAGGAGGTGGAGGGATGCAGTGGAAACACTAGTAATACTATAGTCAGAAGCCTTGCTTTCAAACACTATCTCTATCACTTGCTACCCATGTGACCTTGTGTAAGTCACTCTCTGGTCCTCTATAAAATGAGGGGGTTGGAATAGATGGGTTGGAATAGGTCCCTTTTAATTAGACATCTATCAATAGCTGTCATTTCAGTCTTTTTTCAGTCATGTCCAACTCTCTGTGACCCTATTCAGGGTTTTCTTGGCAAAAGTATTGGAGTGGTTTGCCATTTCCTTTTCCAGCTCATTTTACACATGAGGAAACTGAGGCAAAGAAGGTTAAGTTACTTGCCCAGGGTTACACAGCTAGCAGGTGTCTGAGACATCTATCGTCTTATGCCTAACCCTTCTTTCCTGACATAGCTCTTCAAATTCTTGAAGACAGCCATCCCATGATGCATAATGTTTGTGAGCATCTAATCCAGCTCTCTGTCAGTAAATTAGCATTTATTAAGCATCTGTAATGCACTATGTACTATACTAAGTGTTGGAAATACAAAAAGAGACGAAAAGTCCCTGCCCTCAAGGAGCTTACAATCAAATGGGGGAGACAACATGCAAACAACAACAATAATAATAATAATACAAATAATATAAATACAAATAATAATAATACAAACAGTCTATATGCAGGATAAATAGGAGATAATTAACAGAGGAGGTACTATGATTAAGAGGGACTGGGAAATGCTTTCTGTAGAAAGCACGATTTTAGCTGGTACTTTAAGGAACCCAGGGAAGCCAAGAGGAGATGAGGAGGGAGGACGTCCCAGGTGTGGAGGAAATACTCAGAGATGGAGTGTCTTCTTCATGTTATAGATAAGGAAACTGAAGCCCAGAGAGGAGAAATTACTTGCCTAAGGTCACATGAGAGGTATAGCTGGTTCTGTCATTCTGAATCCAATAATAAACTAATAGATTTAGAACTGAAAGGGACCTTGGAGGTCATCTGATCCAGAAGTGTTAAACTCAGAGCCATATGGCCTGCAAAACTCCTGAGTGGGCCTGAACCAGATTAAAATATAATTAGGAATGTGGCCTTTTCTCTTGTGAGTTTGATACCAGTGAATTCTGATCTAACCCTCCCATGTTACGGATGAAGACATGAGGCCCCCAGAGTCACTTAACTGATGACCTGCCCACGGTCACATGGGTAGTGTCAGAGGTAAGATTCAAACCCAGGTCCTGTAATGCCAATTCAGTGTGTTTTCCACTGTGTGATGTTGCCTTCGCTCTTGACTTTGAAGAACTGATATTTCCATCTACAAAGTCACCAGGACTACCATTGCTGGTCCAGGGTTGTGAAGCTTCATAGCCCCAAGGAAATTTCAGAAGATCAATAAGCAAAGGTTATTTTTGTAGTAAATGCAAATGTGTGACATGGTGGAAATTTCTCTAGAGGAGAAGTCAGAAGATTTGGGTCTAAATCAGGATTCTGTGGAACCTTGGTCAAGCAAGCCCCTTCTCTCTGGGCTTTGTGCAAAACTTGTGGTTGCACTAGACCTTTGTTTCTTCATCTACAAGGTGAGGGGGTTAGCTTAGATTACCTCTACACCCCCAATTCTAAAACTTTGGATTCTGTTCACGATAGAAGTTTTTAAAAATCCTGGCTCTAATAGTTAATAACTGTGTGACCTTGGACAACTCCATCAACTCCTCTGAACCTCAGTTTCCTCTTCTGTAAAATGAGGAGACGGGGTTAGGAATTGGGTTAGGAATAAAAACCTGAAGCCATCTAAGCCAACCCTCTCGTTTCATACATCAGGAAACTGAGACTCAGTGAGGTTAAGTGGTTTTTCCCAAGGTCACTTTGCTAACAATTGACAAAGACAGGTCCTCTGCCTTCAAAGTCAGTGGTCTGTCCTCTGTGCCACACCATCTCCAGATAACCTCTAAGATCCTTTCTCACTTTGTCCTACAGTTCCATAATACCAGGTTTTGTTTCCCCCTGCAGCAGCCTCTAGGACAATACCCCAACCCTTAGAAATATATACTCTGAACCTTTTTATCCCAGGCATAAAGAATAATAAAAAATAACAAAATACTCTTGGGAGAAAAGGCATGGCAAGAAGGGGGTCAAGCCCAGTATCCCCCTTCACCCTCCCTTGCAGGAGTTGTACTCATTTTCCTTCCCCCTTTACTACACCCCACCTTATCCTGTCTCCCAACCCAGACCCCAAGTCACCAACTCACCTTCTGCAGGAGTTCAATTTCCCGCTGCTTTGCGTTGAGAACGGCCAGGGCTTGCTCATGCTCTAATTCCAACTGTTGCCGCCGTTCTGCGGCCTCTCGCATATGCTATTGGAAGGGACAGAAAGAGAATGAGAGAGGACATTGTTTAGAATCCCTGAGGTTTGTGGTTGGCGGCAGGGATGCTGTGGAGCACGAGTCAGCTCCCGGAGTCTGACTCAACATGGAACACTCAGTCTAGCTTTAGAGGCGGTGAAAACAGATGGGTGTTTCCACCAAGGCTGTCCTCCTGAGCAACGAGCAATGTGGGGGATGGAGGGGGTGGTGGTGGGAAATCTGCCACGTCTTTATCTCCCATGTGGAGGCCTGCCTGAGCATGGGAGACCTCTTCTGATGGGAAGCTCCGATGACAAATGTGCCTTTTCCTTTCTGTCTCGTGACTCCCCGTTCCCAAGAAAGAGTCACAAATCCCGTCCTCAACTCCCTCATTTCCATTTTCTTCTTTTAAATCTGTCTCTCTGTCTCTTTTTTTCTTTTGATTTTTCCTCTGTGACATAAAGAATAAGAGAAGGCTTTTAATTTCAGGTTTGGGTCACTTTCCCACTCCAAAAATTCCAGTGTCTCCCCTTTAGCTTAGGAATAAAGGGCAGAATTCTTTGTCTCACATTCACAGTCCTTCCTCTAATGGGGAAGATGTACTAGGTATTCTTTTCCTTGGCATAAGCTGGACTCAATGGCCTTTGAGGTTCTCTCCAACTCTGAGATTCTGTGATTCTCATCCTGGGCAGGTATGATTTGGTTCCAAACTACCCTTCCAGCTCACTCTCTCCCTACACCCTACATGTGCAATACCTCTGTCAAGGGAACATGGGAGTTAGATCTGGAAGGGACCGCAGAGATCATGGAGCCTAAGTCTCTCATTTTACAGATGAGGAGCTGTGAAATGAAGTGATTTGGCTAACATTGCACCAGTAGCGGATTTCAGGGTTTGGGGTTCTCTGATTCTAAATTCCATGTTATTTGCCATCTCTCCCCCTTTGGGTCCACCTGTCCAATCCTTTCCCATCCTGTAAGGCCCAGCTTTATACTGCCATCCTCTGCTCTCTCAAGTGGATGAGACCACTTCTTCTGAAACCTAATGTTTTCCTTGTATCTTTCCTGTGCATTCATAACATTCTGGAACAGAGTAAATGCTTAATAAATTAGTCATTCATTCATTCCATCATAGTTTGTCATTACTTGTATATTTGTCTTATCTCTTGAATAGACTGTGAGCTCCATGAAGGCAGAGATTATATATTATATAGAAAATATATGTATATAATATATATTTTTCTATCTTCTAGTTCCTAGCATATAGCTGGCACAAACAGGGTGTCCCAAAAGTCTTAGTGTAGGTGTAAGCTTTTAATAACGGAAAACTATACTATGTAGACATATGTTGATTTTAGTAATGTAAAGGGATCAGCATGTCCCAGCCATAATTCCTCCCCCCTCTTTTCCTCTCTCTTTTTTTTCTCTGAGTTTCTGTCTCTGTATTTTCTTCTCTCTCTCTCTCCCTCCCTCTCCCTCTCTCTCTTTCTCTCTCCCTCTCTTTCTTCCTCTCCTCTTTTCTATCTTCTCTTCTCTTCTCTCTCTCTCCCTCCCTCCTTCTCTGTCTGTCTCTCTCTCCCAAATTAATTAGCTTACTTCAATTCAGCAAGTACTCACTAGGTGCCTGCTATATGGAGGCCTCATGCTACAGACTGGAGATAAAAGTAAAAAAAAAAATGTCCTTGCTGTCAAGGAGTTCATTTTCCACTGTGAGGCTTCTATCTGTATATAGAGAAGTAAATATAACAAGATTGAGTTTTTGCTCCAGACTAGTGAGTTTGTTGTTGCAGGGGACCCTCAGTTTAGAAATGCTTTCTACCAAAGTAGATCAGCAACTATTCTGAAACTGGAATCTTGGAAGAGTTGAGGGTACAAAATAATGCAAAGTAATTTCAGGAGAAAAAAGACACAAACTTCTAGAGTAACTAGAGTAAAACTTCTGCTTTGAAGGGAGCTGGGAATTCTAAGGGAGTGTATTCCAGCCAGAGTGTACCAATTATACAGAGCGATGAAGGCAGGAAAGAGAAGGCTGTCTGTTGTTTTCTACTTGTCCTTAAGTCTTCTGGGTGTCTGTGTGTGTATGTGTGTGTGTGTGTGTGTGTGTGTGTGTGTGTGTGTGTGTTGTGTATCTCCCTAACTAGCTTCTAAATTCCTTGCAAGTAAGGGCCAGGTTTTCTAGTTATTCCTTTCCCACAATCAATCAGTCAAGAAGCATTTGTTAAGTGTTGTATATGGTTGGACAACGTGTTAGGCTGCAGGAATCCAAATACAAAAGTGCCTTCAAGGAGCTTACATTCTATGAGAGGAGGGGGATAGTTATTATTAGTAGAGTTATTAGTATGAAGTGAAGAGAGTCTTATAGGTTGATAGATTTAGAGTCAGAAGCTAATGGCCTTAGAGACCATTGAGTCCAATCCTCCTCATTTTACAGATAAGGAAACCGAGGCACAGAGAAGTTAAGTGACTTGCCCAGGATCACATAGAGTCTAAGGCAACCATGTCTCTTTTATTGCAAATCTAGCACCCTTCCCACTAATGAATCTCTAGTAATTTAATTTTAATAACCCCAAGCAATTCTCTAAAACTTGAGGTTGAAAGAAAGGCACAGATCTGTAGGAGTAGAGGAAGTTCTTACCTAGAGTTCTCTACATTAAAGAATGAAGTTATAGGCCCTATAAAAATCTCTATCTTTGTATCTCACTTTATAGAATTGATTTCATTTGAGTGTCATAATAACCTTTGTGGGCAGGTACTGTAGGTATTATGAATCCTGTTTTATGGATGAAATAGACTGGGGCTTTCAAAGTTCAGTAACTTTCCAATTGCTACCCACCTAGTAAGTAAGAGAGGCAAGATTTGAACCCATGTCTTCTGGAATCCAAATCCACCACCGTCCATTACATACTTTTGCTACATTCTAATCACAAAGTGATGTTAGGTAAAAAGTAGAACATGACAGTACACACACACTAATTGTAATAATGGAACAGCATCTCTATGAAGACCAACATACATTGGAAGAAATAGAGAGCAATGTTCCTCATTTAAGGTGTTGGTTCATTGATTCTTTGTTATAGTCAGAGTTAATTAAGCTTAACTTAAAAAAAAATTAAAAGAACAGGAAGCCATATGTTGCCCATTTTCAGAGTTATGTGGAAAATATCTCCCCCTAAAATATTCCCCCCACCCCCATATATTTGTATTTCTACAATTAGGGATTCACTTGGTTGTTTCTCCTATGGTTTTTAATCTTCTGAATGCAAATACCATTGATAGGGGAAGCATCTTATACTTTCCAGACTATAGGATTCCACCTTCACAGGGATGAAGTCACTGCAGAATTGTGACCCAGAATATGGGTCACTGAAGAAGTGAGATGGGACAGTGACCATGGGGAGGTCTGGAGGTGATGAAAATTCTGGAATGACATTTCCAAATTTTTCCATGGGTTTTTTCCAGGTAGGAAGTTGGACAATTTCTACCAAGGATATGGGGTCTTGTTTTCCCACTGTCAAAAGGACTTCTGCCCATGTATTCTTATCTGTTTGTTTTAAAAAAACAAAGTTCTGAACATAGTTTGGCATATTGCTTGGAAAACCTACATATGTTTGGTATTGGTGACTACCCATGCTTAATTTCTTTCTCTTTTTTTAAATCCAACAACCTTTGGGTCCCCTCTACCATCTGTAGACATGGATAGCGTGAAGCTGTGTTAGCAGAAGCTGTAATTACCGCCACACTCAGCAGCAGGCAGGTGGCTCATAAAAACAGGAATATAAATCTATGGTAGAGAGAGATGTTCAAACCAGGTCTAGCTGGGGTAAGGATGTATATACATAGTAGGTGTCCTCTGAGAATTAAAGGAGAGTGTAGCTCAGGAGTTGAAAGAGCAATTACTCTCCATCTAGTTTCCATTATTCATAAACCCTATGAGGATCGGGTCTTGCTAAAGAAAAAGATTATTTGGTATTCAGTCAATAAGAATTTATTATGTATTGGATAGGTAGATACCTAGATGGATGGTACATTAATTAAGCACATAATATGTACCTGATACTGTGCTAAGTGCCAGGGATACAAATATAAGATAGTCTCTGTCCTCAAGGAGATTACATTCTAATGGTGGCAGATAAGGCAAAAAGGAGAGCTGGCAAGTGATTGGGGGAGGGGATGCATGATGGCAAGGAAGCAGAGATGTCCAGGGAGGAGGTAGAGCAAGAAGTGCTTATTAAGCACTTACTGTATGCCAGCCACTGGGCCAAGTGCCGGAGATAAACAAGTCAAGTTCTGCTGAATCACACTGGATATTGATATCCCACTGGTATAAGACCAAGGTCTTGGTTCTTCAAACTTGCCTTCCTGATGCAATGAAAGGACCATGCCCAAGATTACCAGCTTTGGTTTGCTACCTCACTGAGTTTCATCAGGTTTAAATATTCTCAAAAAAATTTTTTTTATTGAAATACATTTTCAGCCACTAAAATTTAAATTATAAGAATAAATGAGAAAGACAAAGCAGGCAGAAGAAGGATGATAGGAGGGGTGTCATGGCTAAGAGGAAAGAGACCTGATTTGGAGTCAGAAGACAAGGGTTCAAGGCCCAGCTATGCTCCTTTTGGCCTATGTGACTTTGAGCAAATCAGTTGCCATCTCTGGGAATCAATTTGCTCACCTATAAAATTATGGGATTAGATTTGATCATCTCTAAGTTTTCTTCCAGCAGGTAGGTGACACAGTGGATAGAACACCAGGCCTGAAGTCAGGAAAACTCTTCATGAGTTCAAATCTTACTAGCTTTGTGACCCTGAGCAAGTCACTTAAGCCTGTTTGCCTCAGTTTCCTCATCTGTAAAAATGAGCTGGAGAAAGAAATGGCAAACCACTCCAGTATCTTTGTTAAGGAAACCCCAAATAGGGTCACAAAGAGTCAGACATGACCGAAACAAATGAACAACAACGTTTTCTTCCAGCCCTAAATCTATGGTCCTAGGAATTCTAAAAAAGGAGTTCAAATCA